CGAGTTCGTGGCCGACTAGGCCGAATACCCGAGTCCGTGGACGACCAGGTCGAATACCCGAGCCCACCGACCACTCACAATCTGAACGGAACGTGTCGGTGTGCTCGGCCAAGTCACGGATTTACGCCAGGATAATTATGGAGAGGTTAATTTATGTAATGCACCGGATTAGCCTCCTAATTTCCCGGGACCCAGTCCTTAATCGCGGCCGAATAAGAATCACTATAAATAGGACCCAGCGAGGTACGTAACTAACTTTCAAGTACCGCATTTATTACGCCGAACACTTACTTGAGCGTTGGAGTGTCTTTGCAGGCACACCCCTCCTCGCATCGGACTACCCGGATAGGAACGAGAAGACCGAGACCCAAGATCAGACCCGCTACAACAAGGATAAGTGAAGTGTGTATCCTAACACAGGAACACACATATATATATATATATATATATATATGAAAAAGTTCATTAATGAGACTTTACATTTGTAAAAGATCAATAGCTTTGTTTGCTTGTGCACCATGTTATGGTTTCTGTTTACATAATGCTGGACCTTCTTCTATCCCTGCATGGTTTATGGGAATACATGAATGATGGTTAGTATATATACAATGCTCAATATTTTATTCGTGTAGAAGGTAGATTGAACATAGAAATACAGAGAGAGAGAGAGAGTTATATGCAATAAATGATGTGATGTAATAAGAGATTAAAAAAAATAATGCAGAAATATACAAAAAATAATAATTATTGTACTACGTTGTTAAACTGCTTTGGCACCACCGGACAAACCAGTAGTGGCCGCCAATGTTTATGGTTCACCAGCATGGTCCATAAGGGTGCCTATCAATGTTATCAAAAAGCTCCTCTCCATTTCATTATTATTATTATTAAAAGTATTTTTAAAAGTAAAATATAAAAATATAATAGTATGAACAATTATGCTATTTAGAGTTGATTAATGATAATTATTAAAATTATTTTTTTCTTAAAAATTAAAGATATAATTATCCACAATTATAAAAATGAAAAACGATTACCAAAAAAAGTATTTTTTTTTATTTATTAGTATAAATTATTATTATTATTTTGTTTTATTTATTATGACATCAGAAAAGAAAGCTAACTAAGACCTACCAAAGACTGGCCAATAGAATCGCTAGGGGCTAGATATTAGAATTTAATCTAATATTATCAAGTGTTTGAGTTTCACTCGTTACTGATTCGATATTTTTATTTTTATAAGACTAAATCTATAACATAATATTTTTAAAAATAAATACATAATTTAATTTTTATAAGTGTCATATATTCTTAATTTGGCTCCTTTACATAAAAGTCTATCAAATCAATCCTTATATATGTTAAATGTTATTAACTTGATCTAATTTCATTACATATTTTTAATTTAATATTTATATTTGTAACGCTTTTAATTTAATTCTTATGTATAGTGCATTATTAATTTGATTTTTATATATAGAGGATCAAATTAAGAATATATTAATTGTATAGAGACAATAAAAAAATGTATTACACAGATCTAAATTAAGAATATATAATAAAATTAACGATTTTAATGATTAAATCAGCAATGTTTATATGTATTAAAACCAATTTAATAAATTATTTTATATAAGACTCAACTGTTTAAGTTAGTTTTAAATTTTAAAAAATTACAATATGTTACTGTAATTTTTTTATTAGAACACGGGCGTGAAAATTATATTTTGAATATTCAACTTCTTAAATCTAATGACATAATGAACTTAAAAGATCAATTTAATATAAGGAGGAGAGTGAAAAACGCATGGATATTATACATTATTAGAGAAATTGTAATGAAGAATGAAGAATGATGCATGAATTTTTTACATCTACCGATTTATCAAACTAGCCACAAGAGTTGGGGTTCAATTCATATCTAAATTAAAAGGATGAATCACACCAAAAAAGAAAAAGAAAATGAATAATCACTGGGTATAATTTAATTGTGTTTTTTGTTCCTTCTAGAAATTCTCTTGTTGAATATGTCAAACTGCTTTGTGTGCTCTTTAAGCTTTTATATTCTTTTCAACAACCTCACTACATTTTAATAAATCGTTTGATGCGGTAAGTGCAGTCTACAATAAGCAAATGTTATTTGAGTAAACACTTCAACAAAGCGTCTACAGAAAGAAAAAAAATTGAATTAAGGGGAAACACATGAATTGAAGTTAGCTTTTTGGTGTTCTGTGCCTTTTTTATTATTATTATTTTTTTTTTTTACATATTGGGTGACACTTATAAACTCTCAATCTTCTCATCACAGCAATGAAGTTGGTTGGGTTTGAAAATAACTTATTTTCCTTTGATCTAAATCAACCAAATCCACGCTTATAGCAAATGGGGTTGTATTGGATTTCAATTTATACCACATAAAATAATTCACTTGTGAAAATAAAATATAAATTTGTTACTTATAATAAATCGCAAATGAGATAGATATTTTAGGTGTCGGATATGAAACAAACATACCATATGACATATCAATATATAATTATCGTTAAAAATAATTAATGTTTTAAATAAATAAAAATAAAATTTAAACATGTTTTTAATACTTCAAATTATGTTATTTTTTATCTATAATTTTTTTTTAAGATTTGTATTCTTTAAATGTTTCTTTTAATCATTGAGATCATGTATAATATTACTAATAGGAACTGTTATAAGATTTGACAAACTACTACACTTATTATAGTACTTCACAATGGGAAAAATAAACTTGTCAAGGATTATCATACACATAGATATATATGTATAAAGTAGGAGATATAAAAGTGTAACCTATACACATATCAATCTACCATACAAAAAGAATATTTTAACCTTTATCTGTTGTCTTCTAATACCACCACTATCAACACCTACTACTATTACTACTCAGTATGGCAACCCACAACTATCGTTATTGTCATGTATCACCATTATATTTGTTGTTGTTACCAACACCACCATTGTTATTGTAGTCATCATATTTTTTGCCACCATTGCCTCCATAATAATAACAACAATAAAGATATTAAAATAAATTTAATATTATTTTGTGTCATCCATTATTCACCAAACAAAAATTATCTAATAAATTGAACATTTATCTTGTACTGTTCTCCTTATCTAGTACTTTAATGTATCAAAAGCACAGTAAGTTAGTTGTGCAATAATAATTGAGTTTGATATGATATTTTTATTAAAAATAGCATTAATAAGTAAATTTTGTAAAAACATTTGATTAAGAGGATTAAAACATTATTCTTAAGATTGCAAGAACTATGTATATTTTTAAATTTAAAGAGAAAAATTATTCTAAATAAGAGACTAAACACATTCAATCTTTAAAATAATTAAATAGTGACATTTCTTATTATCCAAATCCAATAATAATAATAATAAAATAGTTATCACGAACCAAAACCTTATTTCATCTTATTATGTTTGGTGAAAGTTGAAATTGAGCTGTTTGCCACTTGCTGATAGCTCCAAGCCTCCAAGTGAACATTGGATTCAATTGTGAAGAGTCAAACCCTGACATAAGCTTCCCTATTCCAAGCTTAATTTCAACTCCAAAGATATAGCCTTCAAGGACAAAAAGAAAACCCACGTGTGCACTATTTGCATTCTTTTGGATACAGTTGCCATCAAAGTAGGGACCTAATATTTTTAGCTGTGGTTGAGCCCAGGTTTTTACGGGTTGGGAGCCTTACAACCGACAACCCAACTTGCAAAATATTCAACCCATATCATTTAGGGCTTTAGGCCCGTGCTATTTATATCTCTCTTTTTTTCCTACTCACAACACTTCCCATTTTTTAGTCTCTTCTTATATTCTTAATAATCTTTTTTATTTCTCTCACCTTCTTGTCTTTGCATTCCCACGCTCATGAAACTAATTTTCATAACGTAATTTTGTTCTAATACCACTCATGAAAATTAATTTTCACAGACGGATATTTTTTTTAAAAAAAGAAATAGACAAACAATGCGAACAGAAAAAGGAAACGTGCAATTATAATTTTAATGTTGTGTTTGGTAAAGAGAAAAAAGTTATGGTAGATAGTAATTAAATGAGACAAAAAATAAAACAAGAGAAGTAACTAAAAATTAGAATGCAAAATGGTTATTTAGTAGAAGGAAAGTAAAAAAGAAGTGAAAGAGAGTGGATAAGATATTTTTTTTAATTAAAATAATGATTTTTGAGTACAGGTAGATAATTTGTATATCCGTCTTGATAAATTTCAAAATATTAAAAATTGATATTAATAGTCTAAAAAGTTAACATAATTAACAACATAATCAATTATGTTGCTTTTGTTTGTGTGAAAATTTTAAAAACATAATTGAGTATAAATCTATTTAGATATGGTCTATATAAACTTTTAAAAGCTTTTTTACAAACAAAAAGAGAAAGTATTTTTTAATAAATAAAAAATTCTTCAAAATCCTTCTAAGCTTGTATCTAAATATGATCTATATCTTGTAACATAATCGAATATCTTTCATCATTTACCTCTTCACATATTCACATGTTTTGTATGAAAGTTTTTATTGTAAATCCCACTTCCCTTTTCTTGCAAATCATTGCAACTTCTTCGCCACCAAATGAAAAATGTACAATAACTTTCATTACTTTCTCTTTTCTTTCCTCCTATTTCATTATCATCAAAGATCAAAACAAATTTGAGTTTTAATTTGTTATAGTTTTTGTCATAATTGATTATTATTTTTATTTAATTGGTTAAAATATAATTTTATTTATTTTTTATTTAATTGGTTATAATCAAACACTTTCATTTTCACTTTATTTCTTACTTGTATTCATTTACTTATTTCTCTCTTCTTTATTTTCATTTATTTTATCTTACTTTTTTTTTATCCTACTCAATATATCATGAATGTTTCATTTGCCCAATTTTGTCACATATTGTTAAATATTTTACTTTTTAGTCTTTATATAGACAATTTTTGTATGATTTAGTCCCTATCAATGCTTTTCCCCACTCCATTTTTCTCTCTTTCTTCTATCCTCGTTGCTTGTTCTTCCTTCTCTTCTTTTTCCTCAGTATCCCTTCACTCATTTTTTATTATTATTTTATTTTAGCTTCTTTTAAATTATCAAACATAACTAATTTCGAAGAGTCTCAAGGTTGCAAAATGTATGTATCATTACATTATTAAAACTTGATATTTCATTTTAATTTTGTGGAGCCACAGAGTTAAAATAAGGAAGGAAAGTGAAAGAGAAAATTTGAAATTGAAACAAGAATAATCAGATTGAATCTCATGTTACAACTAGTTGTAACTTAACTCTTTTCAAAATACTAAGATGAATCTCCATAAATAAAAAGGAAAATAGTATAAAAGTGTAAAATGGGAGTGAAAATAACAACTCGGAGCGATGCAATTATAAACGCGTGAGTACACACTAGATTATCCGCAATAGAGGTTATTTATAAGCAACCTTCTGTGCCACATCACTACTATATCAGCTCTGACTTACTTTATAAATTGTTTAAATTTTAATAAAATTATTTATGAAATAACTTTACTAAAATTTAAATAATTCATAAAATAGGTCAGAATTAATGTGACAGATATGTGGTAAAGGGAATTGGCATCGGATATGCTCTAACATCTTAAAATGGGTAGCGGCATTGGAGACCCATGTCTCCCTCATCCACGTCATCTGATAACAAACTTCGATGGAAGCGGGAACAGCACAGACGCTCACTCTCACCCTTCGACTCCAAACTCGCCTTCCCATTCCAAATTCAAACGCTTCATTCCAACCGCGCTTCACTCATTCGTCCCATTCTCCCTCTCCCTTCACCGCTCACAGTTACACGGGCCCCAAACCAAAACGCGATTTCCTCGCCGATTGGGTCTCCCAAAACGACGACGCCGTTCGCACCCTCCCAATCTACGTCGGCGCCGCCTCCCTCCTCGCCGTCCTCCTCAACCGCGCCCTCTCCGGCATCGCACCCGTCGCCGACGCCGGCAGGCACCTCTCTTCTCTCTATGCTCACCTTAACTTCATAATTCACAAAAACAATACGAATTCCTCTGTCACGTTTGTGCTGTTTTTGCAGTTCGCAGTCCAGAGCTGACCTGTTGACTTTGGGATTGGCCGTTACCAATATTTTGACTGGCCTCGTTTGGCTTTCAATAAGACCTAAATCCATAACTGCGGCGAGCCTCGTTCACTTCTTTGCATTACTCTTTTTCATTCTGAACGTGTTCTCAATTGGCTTGTGTTTTTTGGTCCAGGTGAATCCTCAAGGAGTTGAATGCAAGAGATTCTGCACTACACTCCCTGACGTTGCACGTAATGAGTTGCTTTGGTAGGTGCATTCGGGTGAATAACTTAATTAAGTGCATATAGGGTCCGTTTGAGTAAACTTTTTTAAAAGTACTTATGGGAAAGAAAATTAGGAAGCTCTACGAGTGAAAACTAGCTTATGGATAAGTTGATGATAGGTTATTTGAGAAGGTAATAATAGAAAGCTTCTACAAATTAGTTTATGCTTAGCTTATGGAGAAACTTATTTCATTTTTAAGTGTTCCTGAAGAAGTTTACTCAAACAAGTTCATAATATAAGTTTGATTGTAAACTTATTAGGATATTCCCTGCAGTCAGTGATTTAACGCTTTCACACTTTTAGTGAATTGGGTCCGTTAGATGAAGATTTGACGGTTCAAATATCACATGTGTATTTGAAGTCCGATGTAGTGAGATAGATAACATAACATATTCACTGTGCAATTTTCAACCAATAGTTCTGATTGGTTGACTTTGTGAATGGTCGAAATCCCTAACTGCAGGGAAGCTGGATCCATGGCCGAGGTTTGATCAAGTGCTGTTAAGAAAATACTAGATCATTAGATGTTTTAACAATGTGACATCTTATTTTATGTAATGGAGGAGAATTTCATGTTCTGTGATCAGTGGGTATGGAAGTTGTTGCTTTCAATAGTTTTTAATCTTCTGTTTATTGACAGTTTCTTTGATAATCTGTTCTCAGGGTGTGGAAATCCCTATCAGATGCCACTTGTTGTCGTTCGCTTGTTATTGTTTATGATGGAAGTTGTGTACTCCAAATTGGTTTTGCTGCAGAAACTTCCGCTGGGGATGGTGAGGCTGTAAGTGTGGATGCCAATAAATTGATGCAAGGATCGGTATACCAGGGTGTTATGAAATCTGGTGCTCGTAAGTTTCTAAACATATATGTCTGCCATGTGTCATCTATCACAACTGTTGTTACTTCAGTAAGGTATTTTTCATGAAGAGGTGTGCTGCTTTTAATTAAAATGTCTCGAATCTTTTTTTCATGTTCAGAGAGTTACTTGGCTAATTTATCTCTTTATCCTGGGAAATCTGAGTTGCCATTTCTACCTTCAAATACTCAGGTATTGTGTTTCTATGTGCTAAACTTGTCCATTTAACCAATGACATACATGATACATCATACATCTATGCTATTGATTATTACAGTGTGTTCTAATTAATTGCCCTGGTCTGTCTTTCAAAACCTGTGTGAAGAACAAACTTTTGTATAGAAAGAGTGAAACATAGGGTAGGATGTGGGTGTAAAATGAGACAGGTGAATCTGGAAACCTAGCTGCTTGTTCAATTGTCATGTGAATTTGTTACTTGAGTGACTTGTCTCTTAACAGTTTTGGCAACCGATGAACTAGAGTTTTGGAGTGAGATCTCTAGATAGAAGATGCATAATTTATGATTTCAACATATAACACAATCGGAAAAATTAATACTTTAGTCCTTTAATTTAATTCTTTTCTTTTGTTTGAACATTTAACTTCTATTCATTTTGCTTCAGTTTTCTAACTTTCATGAGTCCAACAAATTGGTCCTTTCCATTAGTTTAATTCAACTCCGTTAATGACAGTGTTGTGTGTGTGTGTATATATATATATATATATATATATATTATAAGGGCAATTTTCGCTTTAGTGTATACTTAAGCAGTGACCTTCAGGCTAGTGATTTGTTTCCTTTTTATATTTTGTTAACCACCACCAGTTTCATCCACTGCAGACAATTACGATGTATGTGATGGGAACCGATAATAACTGTCATGAACAGGTGTAATAATAACTCTTATGTTAGAAGTTATGACTATGATATGACTATGAGTACAAGTTAGGAGCGGTAATGTATTATCAGAATATAGAAAATAACTTATCTTACATTAATTGTTCTGTATTAGAATTAGAAAGTGTCTCGACGACAATTATGATTTAGGGTATACTCCCTCTGGTTCTGAATATTAAAAAAAAAAAAAAAAACCATTCACACTAATTAAGAAAGGTTATCTACTCTACATCATTTAGTTTTGCTAATCTCATTCAAAAAGTAACTTATTTTCTTAAACTGTTCTTCCTTGAAATTTGATATCAAGAATAAAAAAGAAACATTACAAATGCAATCTCAATTAAATGAAGGGGTATTTTAGAGATGACAGCATTGAATAGAGTGAAATTAGTTGAAATTTGCTTATATTTTTTAGAACAACGAGTATGATATTTTTTTTCTTCTTATGTTCAGAACTGGAAGGAGTATTTGATAGCAGGGTGTGTAAAGTAATTAGGTTAGGGATAGGGTGTTGTTGTTTGCAGTTTGTGGATTGAGAATACTTTGTAGGAGACTTCTGTCTCTGAGACAACTCATGAGTGTATTGCTGTATTTTATGTCATTTATATGTTCAGTGTTATATTTTACTGATTTATAAATTGGTGTCCTATCATCTTGGTCCAACCTACTCTATCTAGAAGAAGAAGCGAGAATTTGAGGAGGCAGGCAAATGTTTCATACTACTATGCTAGGGGGACTGTACATATGAATTTTTTTGGAAGAAAAGCTTGAAGGATGGAGGCCCAAATTGACGCTAGAATGGATGAAAAGATGGCTTGAATGGAAACTACTATAACTGAGAAGAGGCTTTTAAAACAAAATGAGGAAAATATTGAGAAAACATGTGGAGGAATTTTCAATCAAGGTGAGCAAAAATTGTGCAAGAAATGAGTCTGATTCAGATTATCAATACAATATGGATGAATACTGTATGGCAATCTAGAAGATGGAACAGCTGCCTGCCTATTAATGGAGAAGAAGACCCTATAGGATGATCACAAGAGCAGAAACATATTTTGAAGTGCAGAATATTTCAGAGGAGGTGATGATCAAATTGCCCAAGTATGGAAGAATCAACCATCGGACATCAGTTGGCTCAATTAGTTGCTGAAGACGATCTGATGTGAGAGAAATTCAAGAGAGTGATGGTGTTAAGGTTTGGAGCCAGACAATATGAAAGGAATTATCAGAACTGAAGTGATTGAGAACATTACAGGAATAAATTGAAGCCTTTGAATTTCTATCTTTACAAGTTTATAGGTTGCTGGAAAAGCAGTGTTTAGGGTATTTCTAACGTATACGAAAGTAATCGAAAGGAAAAACAAAGGATTATGATTTAGGTGTGAAGAAAACTTCCATTCATTACACCTATGTGCAGAGAAACAGTTAAGATTGGTGACTTTAGCTGATGATGCACTAAATGATGAGGCTGAAATAGTTGCTGTTGAAGTGTATGAAGAGAATAAGGAAGAAGCTTTTCCCTACTTTCAGCCTTGGGGACAAAGCTGATTTTTCAACGGATGGTGATAATAGGAACTAATAATAACTGTCGAGTCATGTATTATTACTTTATTAGATACAAGTATGAGAATAACTCTCATGTTGGAAGCTTTGGATAGAAGTTTGGAGGAGTAAGGTATTAGAAGAGAAAATGTTAGTAACACTTTCTTATATTAACTGAAATTTATTGAAAATTACAAAATATTGCAAGTCTCACTTCTTGCTTAAAGAGTTTCCTAATTTTGTAGTTTCTAATAAATTTTAACTAAAAGTATTAGAGTGTGTTACTAGCACTTCTCTAGTTAGAATATATAAAATAACTTATTTTGCATTAGCTGTTCTATGTAGTACTATGTTAGAATTAGAAACAGCCTTGATAAGTTATTCATTGAAAATAAACTTAGTTATGTATTAGGGTATATATTTGATAGTAGGGTGTGTAATTAGGGAGAATGTTTTGTTATTTGCAGATTGTGGACAAGGAATACTCTTTGTAGGAGATTTTTGTCTCTGTGAAGCAAGTGTATTGCTGCCGTATTATGTCATTTTTATGTTCAGCATTATACTGGATTGGTTTACTTATTGATGTTCTATCAGTATGCTTTTGGCAACCCAAATTCTGACTGACCTGCATGTAAAAGATCATGTAATGTATTAATGTTCAAACATGTAAGGTGAAATTTATGAGAATGAAGTTGGGAAAAAGAAAATGTAAAATCTGTTGATTCCCTTTCCTCAAACCGAAATAAATTACTCTATTTATTTCTTGCGATTTATGATCATTTTTGTGGTTACGGTGTGCATAGTCTTCGGTCCGTCCCTAATTTTTCACGGGGAAGGGGGTTCTCTTGGGCAGCACCGCCGACCTCCTTTGTGATCAATGAATTTGTTGAAGATTTCATAAATATCTATTATCTAATAGCAAATATTATTCATACAATTATTATTTTGCTAGGCAGTAATTTTACAACCACTTGGAGATAAAGGGATTGCAATTATTGGTGGCGACACGATACGAGGTTTCACTGCTTCTGATCAGGTATATTTCAGCCTTCATTTTTTATTTATTTATTTTTAATTTCTAATGTTCTACCTGAATTTGTCAAAATCTTTGGATCCTACGGCATGTGGAAATTAGGTAAGTATCCTTTGTTTCCTGAAGCATCACTTCAACCCTAATTAAGATGTCGAATTTCAGTTCAGACATGTCCGTAGTACAAGTACATTTTGTAGGTCCTGCAAATTGTTTCCTATTTTAAAACTCAGTGAGATGCATATGTGGGTTAGTGGCATAAATATTCAAATGATTACAGGCATGGATTACATATGTTGGAGAGAAGCTGGATTCTACCCTTGCAAAATAAGTGAATCATCACCCAGTGACTTCACAAGATTAAGTTTCAAAGATTTGCGAGGTAACCTCTCGTTTGTTTCTAATAATTTTTAATGGAAATAAACCCTCTAACTTGCAGCCGACTTCTTGGCGATATGAGGCTAATATTTGATCCCATGTATATGTTATCCATTAATTAAGGCAGTGCTCAAATTGATTATCAGTCAAACTAATTCAGAGTCAGTAACTTGTATGCGTCAGCGCATTTTGTTAACCATTTTTAGTGTTTGACTTTCATTTGCAGTTCTGAGTTTTCATTTGTATCCACCTCAGTTCTGGGTTTTCATTTCTATCTACCGCCCATCGAGAAAAAAATTATTCCCATTTAATGATATTGCTTAAGATCAGGATAAACACACATGGCCAAAGCTCGTGTAATCTCCTAGTCCTTCCTACAGAGACATCTAATTAATTATGTTGTGGCCTTCCCACAATTTTGTATTAAGAACTTTTGTTATTATGTTCGCTGTTTTTCTTATTAAGTTACTAGCTTGCAGTCGCAGAGAATAAAAAATTTGGTATTGGACTGCAGTTTATCATTGCTGAAACTTCTTTCAAGACAAGTTTAATTGGTTACGACTTACGGCAAGTAAAATAGAGGGCACAAATTATTGCAATGAAGCTTGTTGTACAATAATAGGGGCCCCAAATATTGCAAACCTAACCCCACATTTTCTCAGAGAAAAGTGAAATTTATCAAGAGGGCGCCAAGGGAGCAACTCCAAATCCAACACACTAGGTAGTAAGTACCGTAAAGGAAAGAAATTCAAACCTGTGACTATATCTCTTCCTGTCCTAAATTGAAAAAGGCGTAACAATTAAATTTGATGTGTACAGACTTTGTCGGCATGAATATTTTAGTCCTACTGGATGATATATACTTTATGTAAACTTAGTATATAGTACTTAACTAGAAAAAATGGAAGAAAATCCATTGATATTGCTGCAAATATACATCTGTATGAGTCTGTTTCATATCTATAAAATCATTTAAAAAATAAGAAAACAAAATTTCTGTAACAGAAAGCCCCCCCCCCAAAAAACAATGAAAAGAATGAATGCTTAACAAGTGTGATCATCGTGCTTTACATGGGTACCAGCTACCAATATGTTAGCACCCTCATTAGTATCCATTATAGAGAAGACCTTTCCCAGGGCATCATCCCTGTTGCAGGGTCAGGAAAGTAAGACAGAAGGAAGTCCTTCAGTCCAGTGTCCCAAACCTCACAAAACTGTAGCCGCCAGTTAGGTGGTTCAATGGCTTCTGTTCCTAATCCCGGTGCTCTATCCTTTGATCCTTTGTTCTGGTCTTCCTGCCAGTCCACCACATAGGTAGCAACCCTTCTGAAGAACTTGGCCTTGAAGGTCTCCCATACCTGGTACTTGTAGTGGTTTATTATACCAGTACCTTCAGGCATGTTGTGATACCTGAATCCTTCCCTCAGCTGAAAATGGTGCACCACATTCAGAAGACTGATATCAAGCAAATCCGGCCGCACAATGGATTTGTGCCGCTCGGGGCTCTGAAGCCGGCAAGTGTACCCTAGAGTAACCCCTTGTTTAGGGGGTGAGTTCAACCCAGAAGGTCCAAAGCTATGACAAGCTGTTCTTATCTCCGCAATGGATCTCGAAGATGAGAAATTGGCAACAACCGATCTCAGATAATTCTCACCAGGAACACCCTCCCCCAACGATTGATGAAACTCACCGGGGAAGTAGAAGAACTCATCAACATCAAAGAACCCGACCCATTTGCATTCCTCTCTAGCCCTCAAAGCACAGTGGGAAAACCCTGCTTCCTGAGTCTTAATCCAAGGCCAGACCTTTCTACTAACATTAAACCCTTGAAGATCAAGATCCTGAACAACCTTCTCAATATCATCATCACTGTTGTTATCATAGATAAACCAACGCTCCACTCCAAGCCAAGCATGGTACATAACCCACTCCTTGAGCGCAGAAGCTTGGTTCCACACCATAGTACACACACACAACTCATACTTGCCTCTATTTCTCCTCTGAACTCTACCACCACCAGGACTACTAACTCTAGCCACAGAAGGCACAAGGGCACGAACCGGGTGCCTCACATTGCCACCCAAATTACTCACCGTTACCCAAATTCCTCGAGCCTTATCAGGATTATTCCTTATGCTCTGCGGCAACATACACCTCACAATTTCTTGAGCCACCGAAACCGCCCTCGTGGTAAGCAAAAACGCATTGTCCTTGTGAAAGCTCTTCAGCCCAAAATGGCACCGGATCCGGGTCGGATCCGAGATCTTGTGGGGTCGGAGATTCAACCCTTTCACGAACACCACAACGGTGTTTCCGTCAAGGGTCGCCTCGTAGGCCACCCTGTCCCAAGATTGAGCCGTTTGGTTCATCAAAATACCCAAATTCCGGCGACCCACCTCGCCGCGCCGCCGCAAGTCGACGGCTTGGGAGGCGCCGGCGG